CAGACCAGATGATCATAATGGTCCCTTCTGACCTTAAAGTCTATGAGTCTACTGTCTGAGTCACCATCCCCCCTCACTGTCACTCCCACATTTTCATGTGGTGCCTGTAACCTGAACTTAAATCGGACCCCAGCCACGATGTACTGTATACGCACCAAGCCCAAAGAGGCGGGCATGCACCCAGGGCTGCCATCTGAAACCAAGTGGCAAGCCACCAATGGGCACAGAGGCCTTCCCCATTCCCAGCAGCTGCTGCGGAAGACATAAGGATGTCATGCAGAGAGGATCATGTCTCAAAGGCAGAAAGTAGTGAGAGCAGGTGGGTCTAAAAGGATCTGCTCGTCATGCTAGTGATAAAGAATGAGGCACAGAAACAAAGAGCGGGGAGAGGAGCAGGGCTGATTCTCTGCAGGATGGGTTCGCAAGGAGGCATATGATGACCCATCCTCCACTCTGGACAGATGAGTCCTGAAACTTCTTCTATTTGTAACGTGGGGCCTGGGATGGAAGAGGATTCAAATCACTGCTCTTAAGGAAGGCTTGGCAAGCGGCTTCTCCAGGGGACACTGGCAGCTCTGTAGGACCGTGTTACAGGACCCTGACTGGTTTTGCTCTTTGTGGAGTTTGTCAGCTGTAGGCTGTCTTAAAGTGCAGCTGTGCTCATTTCCACTGGCCTCAGTTATCATAAACGCAAGGCTGGGGGTAAGTCATGGGCATTCCTTTTATTTTCATGTACATGTGGATGTTAGTGGTTCCTGAATGACCCTCTTCTTTTCTTTCCTTCCTTCCTTCTTTCCTTCCTTCAGGTAGAAGCCCTGCCCCCAACTCAGGTACATCACCTGGGGGTGGGGCCAGCTGCTTGAAGGGAGGGCAGCAATCCCTGAGATGGGGCAAGTTCAGGAGGAGACAGGAGCATGTTTCTCCTCCCCCTGGAGAATCTGGGGCAGTGCTGAAACACCACCCTGAATGCTCGGCAGGCATTGAGCCCCCTTCATAAGGAGAGAACCCCCTCCTCCCTTCCAAATCAGGGGCAGCTCAGCAGACTGACTGTTGAAACCCCAGTGCTAAGCATGAGCTCCTGGCTCTTCCCACAGAACTGGTGGCACTGTGTCGGCACTCCCCTTCTGGGGGCCCTTTGAGCTTTTCACTGGGTCCCCCAAGGTGATGAACGCTGCTTTGCCAGGTCACTAGCCAGCACCACTCCCAGGGGATACAAAATTCAGTAGAAACCTTCTAGGCCAAGGCCAAAACCGTCCTGCCACACAGGCAGCCTTTGTGCCAAGTTGCTCCTTTTTCAGGAAGGCTGCAGGTTCCAGAGAGAGGGGCCAGGCCTCCCTGGCAGGAAGAGGAGCCAGTCTCTCGCCTGCTGCGGGAGCAGAGCCAATGGGATTTTCACCATTATTTCATGTTGTAAGGCAGGTGGGGGGTGCCAGTGTGAATTAGCAAAGCTCCTTCCTTCTCCTGTTCCGGTGGGAGGGGAAAGGGATGGGACTTGGGACGGAATCTCTCAGAGAAACTCACTGAGCTTTGATAGTCTAGACTCTCTTCTTGCCAGTGGTGATTGGGAGTCTGGATAGGGGATGGGCCATGGCCACAGAAGGAAAACAGCAGTGTACATTAAGCACTGCTAACTGGGAGACCAGGGGACAGAGCAAATTCAGACACCAAGGAGACAGAGACTGTTCTTTGCGGGTGATCCCTGGAATCTGCCTCTGAAGTTCCTACCTGACTCCCAGCTGCCTGCAGACCACACTGGCATCCCAGTCTGTCCAACGGTCAGCACAGATGGTGCCCCAGAGTCCGCTGAAGTATAGCTCCACCCTGCCGCCTTCAGACAGCCGCACAGCACCTTCCGAAAGAAAGACTCTGATGCCAAAGTGCTCCCTGCTGCACTCTCAGCAGCCATGCATGCTGCTCAGGCCCTGTGCGAGGTGGCTCTGGAAACGGGCTGGACACCCTGATTTCCCATGCTGTGGCTGAGCTGAAACTCCTACACTGAGACACTTGATTGTGTATCCAATCAGGAATTTTGAATGTGCACTAGACTGTCCCCAAGGTCAATGGCCCCACAGGAAGTAGTATGACTAGAGGGCTAGTAACAGTGGGCTGTTCCTCTGCGATTGCACCAGGAAAAGGGGGAGGCAGGAATTCACTCCCTTTAAATTGCTACAATAGAACAGATCTCCATCAACACCTGGAGAGCTCCTCACCCCACTGAGAGTTACTGGGAACGACCTGCCCTCCTAGGGTGACCAGACAGCAAGTGTGAAAAATCGGGACAGGGGGTGGGGGTAATAGGATCCTATATAAGAAAAAGACCCCAAAATCGGGACTGTCCCTATAAAATCGGGACATCTGGTCACCCTATGCCCTCCATCCCCACCTCACCCCACCCCACCTCACCCACATGCTTTGAGCACTGGGACAGAAACACACAGCTATACCCTGCTGGCCTCAAATAGAAATGGCTTTGAGGAAAAAGAAAGTGACACAGGAGGGAGGGGCAGGCATAGGCCCCACCCACACGAGGCACCTCTCATTTGGAGGAAGCCATATTTGAAAGTGTTTGCGTTGGTGGGAGAAGGTGGAGCCTAGTTTTGTTAAAATGGTATTTTTAAAAAGGGATTGAAATACTGTTTCTTAACACAATGCAAATAAGGCTGTGAGGCCAAATGTTCAAGGGCTCGGCACCCACAACTGGGGCCAGATTTTCTAAAGGGCTCAGCTCTCATTTAGGCACTGAAATAAGGGGCTTCCCTTGTGACACTAATAGCCAGATTTTCACAAAAGGCCCGCTTCTATATATTTCTTCCATACACTGCTATAGTTACACTAGTATAATTACACTGCTGTAAAGCTGATCTCCACTAGGACCTTTCATTGGCATAGTTATGTCTCTAAGGGGGGTGAACAATCCACACAGACATAGCTATGCTAACTTAACCCCTAGGAAATCTTCCGTCAACCTAGCTACCACCTCTCAAGGAGGTGGATTAACTACAGCGATGGGAGAACCCCTCCCATCACTGTAATGAGTGTCTACACTGAAGTTGCGCCTCTGTAGCACTTTAAGTGCAGACATACCCAGAGTTAAACTGCTATAGTTATACTGGTATAGCTCCCATGTGGACACTCAGGCTTTGTCTACACTGGCACTTTTGTCGGTCAGGGGTGTGAAAAAACGTCCCCTTGACCGACATAAGTTTCATCGACAAAAGTGCAGGTGTGGATAGCGCTGTGTCAGCAGGAGAGGCTCTCCTGCCGACGTAGCTAATGCTGCTTGTTCGGGGTGATTTAATTATGTTGGCAGGAGAGTTCTCTCCCAGGGCTGCTGGAATAATTTGTATAGTGGGGGTGCTGAATCATTAAACCAAACTGTAAACCCTGGATATGATGGAAACCACTTCAAGCCAGGCGCTGCAGCAGCATCTCTAGTTCCAGTGCCTATGCTTTCTTCTGCTGACAAGGAGAGGGGAGACCTTACAGTGGTATAGCTGTGCTGCTGTAAGGTCCATAGTGTAGACATAGCCTCAGACTCCAGAACAAGGGCGTCTATACTTAAAATGCTGCAGCACCACCACTGTAGAGTTTCAGTGAAGATGCTACTTACCCCAACAGGAGAGGTTCTCCCGTCAGCGTCGGTAATCTACCTCCCCGAGAGGCCATAGCTAGGTTAACGAGGGAATTCTCCCATTAACCTAGCACTGTCTACACCGGGGTTTAGGTCGGTTCAATTGCGTTGTTCAGGGGGGTGGATTTTTCACACCCCTAAACAACATATTTATAGCTACCTAACTTCCTAGTGTGGACCAGGCCTAAGAGTGGCTTCTTTTGACTTTAGCTTATGTCGCTTTGGAAGCAGTTTAAGCTAAGCGGAGAAAGATGCTTTTATACTGGCATAAGAGTGTCCACACTGGGGTTATAAATTCACACCTCACCTTAGACCTGTATAATTTTCTCATTGAGACAAGTCCTTGGTTAGTGGCCTAAACTGAAGCCAAACTTTTCTGAAAATTCTGACCAACTATTGTGCTGTGCTCATCGCTCTGGGTCCAACACCATGCTGTATGCATCTTGGCACCTCCACCGTCCCTCTCCCCTCACCCCCCGCCCGCCCATGGGTAAGGTCTGAGAGCACGCAGCCAAGACCCTAACAGCGATGCTGAGGGGTACTTACCCTGGTTACAGTCACAACTGGCCCAGCCAATCGCTCCAGAACCAAGCCGGTAGAAGCACCAAGGCGTAGCTCCCCTGTCTGGATTTCTGCAGTAGTTGTGGTTCCCTAAGCCCCGGTCTGGGTACTGCTGGACATAATCAGGGAACTCTGCCCAATTCAAACATTCTGACCCAGACTCAGTGACAGCCAATGAGCCATTGTAATACCCGAGGGGCCCAACGCCACACAAGCCGGACCCTGGAGACAGAAAGGAAGCTTTCAGGATGGCTTGCTGCCAAGAAGGGCTTGGATAAAGCCAGTATGTGTCACATAACAACCCTCTTCTGCTGGATCCTTCCATTTCTGCAACATTGAACCTTCATTTTCTTTTACAAATCAAGATTCTCTGCCCTGGGGTTGTGAAGAAAGCCTTGTAAATGTGATCTGATCAAATGTTTCCTGAAAAATAATAGCATTGAGAGCTGTGAACTCCCCCATCATCTGAAATGAGTGATAGAGATAGAGAATAAGACAGAGAATATATTATTGCCCTTTTATAAATCCATGGTACGCCCACATCTTGAATACTGCGTACAGATGTGGTCTCCTCATCTCAAAAAAAGATACACTGACATTAGAAAAGGTTCAGAGAAGGGCAATTAAAATGATTAGGGGTTTGGAAAGGGTCTCATATGAGGAGAGATTAAAGAGGCTAGGACTTTTCAGCTTGGAAAAGAGGAGACTAAGGGGGGATATGATAGAGGTATATAAAATCATGAGTGATGTGGAGAAAGTAGATAAGGAAAAGTATTATAATACTAGTTCTTGTATTATTCCCATAATACAAGAACTAGGGGCCACCAGATGAAATTAATGGGCAGCAGGTTTAAAACAAATAAAAGGAAGTTCTTCTTCACACAGCGCACAGTCAACTTGTGGAACTCCTTGCCTGAGGAGGTTGCGAAGGCTAGGACTATAACAGCGTTTAAAAGAGAACTGGATAAATTCATGGAGGTTAAGTCCATTAATGGCTATTAGCCAGGATGGGTAAGGAATGGTGTCCCTAGCCTCTGTTTGTCAGAGAGTGGAGATGGATGGCAGGAGAGAGATCACCTGTTAGGGTCATTCCCTCTGGGGCACCTGCCATTGGCCACTGTTGGTAGACAGGATACTGGGCTAGATGGACCTTTGGTCTGAGCCAGTACGGCTGTTCTTATGTTCTTAACTCTGGACCCTAATGAGGACTCCCAGCTACTCTGGGATGGTAGGCAGAACCCAAGCTCCACTAATACTACTTCTCATCCCATCCACTCTGACTCCTGAATAAGACAGCCCTACATTTGGACATAAGCCTACTTGAAAGCCACACTTCATCTTTCAGCTGAGCCATACCCAGGATCCTGTGAAATCAGATTCTGCAAAGGAGGCAGTGAATTTATAGTCCCCCATGTGAAGACTCTTATTCCAGCATGCACTATATGCATGTTCTTTATTTACGTGAGTACAGAAGCTTGTCTGTTTGAAAGCAGTGGGCTTCCAGGGAGTACAGAGAACCCATTCTAAGCAGGCACAAAAATCCAGACCAGTGTTTATCCAAAATTCCTGCCTGTGAAAAAAATGTCAGTAAATTAAGTATGTAGTTTTTGTGACAGATTGAAATCCTCCTTCATTCATCTGGAATAAGAGAGGGAAAAACAGAATTGGCTTTCTATACCAGATAGGTCTCTCCAAGCGCAGCATGTGGGAGAAGACCCTGGAATGAATTTCAGTATAATAGCTCTATTCATTTAATAAACAGACAGAAGCCAACACTCTTAGAAAACCCTTCTGCAACAGCAAGGATAAATATGTTTTGTATGATAAAGAGCTGATGTGTACAAAAGAATTACACTGTGCCATACAGGGCCAGCTCCAGGCACCAGCAAACCAAGTAGGTGCTTGGGGCGGCACATTTTCAGGGGCGGCATTCCAGCCAGCCTTCTTTTTTTTTTTTTTTTTTGGCTACTTGGGCAGCAAAAGCCTAGACGCCGGCCCTGGCAGCAGCAGTGCGTCCTGCACCGGGGGCCCCCTGGGGCCACGGCGGTTCACGTCGGGGAGCAGCACCCACACCTTATGGCCGGGCGGGCTCCGAGCGTGGGACACTCGGGCTGGGGGCTGCCCCTCGGGGCACACGGAGCTGCCTGCAGGTGCTGCAGGGCAGCCGCCCCCCAGCT